TCCAGGATATGAAGGCCGAACCCCGAAACCCACCGCCGAGAGATTGTCTTGTGCATTTTACATGTACGGGTACTTCGGGACAGCGCCAAGGCATGCCGTAAGAACGGGCCGAGTGGGAAACAGCAGTCGCTCTGAAGACCATGAGCCTTGAACTCGACCCACTCCTTCACTCCCTCCTTCCACAAGCCGTGAGGTCTAGGGTTGGGGGACGATCTTACGTTGGGAGTGTTTAGGAAGATCTGCTTCGATTCGGGCTCATGGCAGCAGCGTGAATCTGGCGGCTGAGCGAGTATCCGCAGGGGTGGCAGAGAAAAGTACATGCTAAGCTTCGGGTTTCAGGATTTTGGGTTTTAAGTTTAGTAATACATGCGCTGTGGCCCCTCCTCAAAAAGAGGGTTTAGGGTTTCGGTTTTCAGGGCCGACTAGCCGATTACCCACCAAACTCAACGGAACAGCCTGGCCTTGGCATTCAGGAAATCTGACATTCCCGAATCTCAACACCATGAGTATTGAACGTGCCATTTGCCCCGTGCTCATGCCACGATGGGATTCTGGAGGGGACTTGTGTGCACCGATCGGGGAACTAACAGCAACTGACATGTCCACATCCTGAAATATCTATCGAACTATGTCGTCATAGTGCGGTTCTTTCTATTACTTTCTGCCGGTCCGACGGATCAAAACTTGATTGGTGACGAGGTGCCAGTACGGCAGGTCGAGATTCAAGCGGAATTGCTCATGTAACCTGTGCTTGGTGCAGACAGACCGACAGAGAGAGAAAGAGAGAGGGAGAGACAGAGGGAGTCAAATCCCTACGCCATAGCCCTGGCGAAAGAAAAGAGAGTGAGAGAGAGAGAGAGAGACCCATGCTTGATAAATGTGCCAACTCTCCAACAGAGTAGCAAACCCTGGAACCTGATGCACTAGACGCTAGATGCCCTAGTTCCAAACATCCTTGTCCCTAAACACTGAACTGTAGCAAGCTCCGTTGCCCTAAACCCTATAAACCTTAAGGTGCCCAAGAAGCAGTGCGGCGCCTCGCTGCAGCCCGGGCAGATCTTGATGCCCAAAACGGCGAGGTCCGCCGATGGTTTTTGATTGTAAACCCTAAACCCTATACCCTAAACCCTAAACCCTAAACCCTAAACCCCGAGTGTTGAACTTTGGAGTTCCTCGGAAGCCAGGGAACTGAAGGTCGGAAGGTCCAAGACCTTTCATAGAAGGGGCCGACATGAATTTGGGTCTAGCAAAAGGTTGTGCTCTTGCGGGCCAAGGTGCATGGAGTTTCGCTCGTGTACTAGCTGCTGACTTTCAAGCGGAGTCAAAGCCTGCATCAGAAGTTACCGAACCGGGGCATATGCGCAGTCGAGCCTCCCTGTGGTGCGGAAGTGCTCCAGGCCGTCTGCGGAGATGTAGTCGGTATGCGGGCTCCACACAGTCGTGACCAACAAGCAAAAACAATGTAGGGGTTTTCGCTCAGGGCTTAGAGTTAATGCATGTGAATGTGGAATCCTCAAGAAATTGGTCAGCGGCTTTCAAGAATTAGGGCCAAGAGGCTTGGGCTTAACGGAACAACGCTTTGCGGGGGTTCCTGCGGCCAGGATCGCACGCCACTGGCAGTAGCTGTGCGGCGATATGGCGCCGACGGCAAAGTTCGGAAGCCAAGCCTCATTGTTTACAAGCTCGAGGGGCTCAGGGTGCATTCTCAGACAGTATTCACTGAAGGCGTTGCTGCCGTAAACCATCACGATTAATAGCACTACAAGCTGTGCTTATGCTTTTAGTAGCTACAGGTCTCACTATGCCATTGCTATCATGCGCCGCAAGTTTAGGCCTAGGCTTCATCACTCGGGAGCATGTCTATCCAGGAAGGAGCGCCAACTTTGACCGATGATGTGGTATGGTGCTTTGAGTATGGTGCGCTATTAAAAAGATCTCCTAATCTGATGATTCGATTAGCATGGCGCATCTAGTAAAGTATATAGTATAGTCGAGTTGTACAGTGTAGTATAGCAAAACATAGCATAGTATACCCTTCGGCTTAGACAGGCCGAAATTTCTCATCAGCAGAGATAGACTACTGTCAGTCGTCTTCCAACAGGGTCCACGATGTCATCCGTGAGCACCGCAAGAGTCGAGGTTGGGAGTCTTGGAGCATCTTGGAGCTTCTGAGTTCCTCATGGGACCTCTGATGCTTGTCGCGTTTGTACTTTTGAGGCCATGGGCCTCAAGCCGAAGCCACAAGGTGAATGCTTGCATGCCTTGTGCAAGCGTGAGAGGAGAGTCGAAGTCCGACACCTGTGAACCGTTCATCTGCCGGACTGGGCCGTTTAACAACAGATCTTCAACGCTCGTACACTTACACTACACTCACCGATTTCTGGATCTCCGAGTGGGAGCGCATCGCTGAACCTCACAACGGCTGCAAGTTACGGCTCAAGCACGGGCTCGTAAGAGGCTTAAATTCGTGGAGGCCATTGCCAGCTTCATGACTCTTCCCAGCATTTTCGTGCCCGATTCCACGACAATGGCGCTGCCGCTGCAGCCGTTTCGGGCTCCGCCGGGGTTGGCACACCCTGGCTATGCCCTTTCGGACGCCTCGAGCCCAAGCTCATCTGAGTCCTCGCCGGCATTTCGGCCATCGCCGAACGATTGGGGACAGCAGGTACCAGCTGGGCACGTTGCAGGCTTTACCGTTGAATGGTTCGGGAGCTATGGACACCCTGAAGTTTGCAACAGACCCTGCGTGTATCTGCTGAAAGAGGATGGAGGTTGCCCTGACGGAGCGAGCTGTCAATATTGCCACTTACCACACCATCGCAACGGTGCCAAGCCGGACAAGAGACAGCGCGAGCTCCTGCAGACTATGTCCGATCAGGAGCGCCTCCTCCGATTTCTCCCCCACATCCGTCGACGTGCTGCCAAGATGGGGAACCCTTGGGCAGATTGCATCACTCAACTTCTGGAGGACGAGATCAAGGAGCCGCGTATTCATTGGGAGAGGAGCTTCGAGCTCAAGCAGGTGCTAAAGAAGATGACCTTCGGTCAACTGGTCTTAACCAGCAGAAAGAACGTGCCTGCCCAAGTGAAGCATGCGCTGACTGCTCTTCGGCTTCAGTTGCCCGTGCCGGAAGTGGTGAATCGGGGCACATCGCTGCTATTGTGAATGCTTGTATCTAGTATTCGCAGTAAGAGAAGAGGACGCGCTCTTGTGAATGCTTGTATCTTGTGTTCTATGCCAGAGCCCGCCGATGTCTTGTCCGGATTAACCATGCTATCAGTAGCAATGGTGGCAACCCCACCGAATAACCGAAGAAACAAAGCCGCAGATAGCCCTAAGATTCGCAAGACTGATGCGAAGTGTGTACCAGTTCCCCGGTTCCCAAGTAGTACCCTTTTTTGTGAGAGCAATCGGAAAAAGGGGACGCTTGGGAACGGTGGTCAGCCTAGATTTCGTCAGACCCTGGGAGGATCTAAAAGCCCCCGTTTGGTACCGATACCAGTAGAACTCATCTCGCAAGACATCCCGAAAGGGACCTACTTTGCAGATCCTCCAAGTGGCACAGATTTTTTCATCATATCCTTGAGAGATACAGGCACGGCTTATTCCGCATGCAGGAGTATTTTGTCGAAACCCTTAATTGTTGTGCCACCCAAATAATACAGAGTTTCCTTAGGCTTCCATATAATGTATGTATACTGTATACTAGATTAAAGCCCGACACCCTATTCCGATCCTTAAGGCCCCTACTGCCACGAGCCTGCTTCCCTTTCAAGGCCACGGGAGAGAGCTGTAAGTGCAGCCATCCGTGTGGACGCAAGGTTTTTGGGGATCCTTGAAATTGGGAGTTTCCAAAATTTAGGGTACCTTATTTTGGGGGTCCTGATAATAAGGATCCTATTATTTAGGGTACTATATTAGGGTCCCCATTTTTTGGGAAACCCCCAAATCTTCATTGTCAGAAGGGCCCAGACTGCTTGTCCAGCAGCATGGCGAGGTTCTAAGACGGCTACATAATTGGCAATATTACCCCTAAACCGTAAACCCTAAACCCTAAACCCTAAACCCCACCCTTATAGCCCCCATTGTAACTACAGGAGAGATTGCACCACAACCCTATTCTCATTGTGAAGGTCCCGCCATTGCTCCCAAGCCCAGCTTTGGGCAATGCTCCCGAGCTAGGGCCCCACCGAGAGCACACTGGCAGGTTTGGCGTCTTAGGGGTTTCGGTCTTAGGATTCGGGGTTTAGGGTCGTCCTGTCGTGACGTTGCAAGCCAGGTGCAACAAGGGCTGTTTAGGGTTCAGGGTTCAGGACGCCATCACTGTGCTGTTTGGATTGGAGCCAGGACCAGAACAACCCTGGCCCCAACAATCGTGTGCTCTTGGCCCTGGGGTTTCCACTGTTCTGTCCAATAGCTATCTGCCTGCAACGAGACTCCGAAACCCTTCATGTAGGGGGGGAGGAGGTCGTCTTTGAAGGTTAG